CAGAGCTCTGGGTTAATACCCTCTCTCCTGGGCCAGGGCCAGAGCTCTGGGTTAATACCCTCTCCCCCGGGGCAGGGACAGAGCTCTGGGTTAATACCCTCTCCCCCGGGGCAGGGACAGAGCTCTGGGTTAATACCCTCTCCCCTGGGGCAGGGACAGAGCTCTGGGTTAATACCCTCTCCCCCGGGGCAGGGACAGAGCTCTGGGTTAATACCCTCTCTCCTGGGGCAGGGACAGAGCTCTCCAATACAGGACAGGTGTCATACAGCTTCTGGGAGCTGCTGCAAAATGGACACCCAGACACCGACACAGAGACACAGAACTTCTCTCTCTCACCACAGACAGAAGGCAGGAGCTGCGCTGGAAAATGTAAACGAGGGGGCAGGCTTAGGGAAACTGCCCCAGTATAAACAGGGAGGCAAAAATGTAAACGTCCCCCTCCCCTTCTCACCGCGAAGCAGCTCTGCACTGTGTCTCTGCATCAACCTTCACCCCCATGTGGAGTTTAAAATAAATAAAAAGGGTTTAAAGGCCTCACAAGGGCAGAGCACGAACGTCAGTAGCATTACACCCTCCCAGCTTCACGTGGCTCAGATGCTCAGATGAGAAAGAAAACTCCGCAGGACTCCATACACAGTCTCCTTCCCCCCTCCCGCACAACGGGAGGCCGAGTCAGCTCCAGGAGCTCCTCGCCGCAGGGCTCTCTCTTCCCGAGCTCCTGTGCTCCTTTCGCTCCGGCGGTTGGACAGCTGTAAGACCAGCAGGCCAGCAGGAGCCTGAAGTTGTGCGCCATGCAGGGCCTGACGCAGACGCTCAGGCAAAGGTTTGACATTTATGATCAAGGTGGACAATTTACGACCTAATTAAGCCACTGACGTCAGTAATGGGACTGACTGGAACTCGGGATGCTGCATCTCTCCAGGACCAGCAGCGCTTTTTTTCCCACAAGCCACAAGGAATGGGAAGAACATGCAAACTCCACACAGACGGCACTCCAGCCCAGAGCTGAACGCTGGTCTC